AAATATCTTGGAGTTCAGGTTGCAGAATCAAACATGAAATTGTTTCAAAATAATTATGAGGTGTTGTGGCGAGAGGTTCAGAAAGACATGGAGACTTGGAAAAAGCTGCAACTGTCTTTACTTGGAAGAATAGCAGCAGTTAAGATGAACATTTTGCCAAGATTTCTGTTTTTGTTTCAAATGATTCCGGTGCTTAAAAGTGATAAACAACTGAAAGTTTGGCAGTCTGGTGTGAATAAGTTTGTCTGGAACGAGAAGAAGCCGAGAGTGAAATTGAAAATTATGCAAGATGTTCCAGAAAGAGGAGGCCTTAAACTCCCAAACCTACAGTTATATTATGATGCAGCAGCTTTAACTTTAACAAGTGATTGGTTTGGAAGTAAAAAGACTGGAATATTGAATGCAGAAAGTTTTGATCTTGAATTTGGATGGCATGCTTATTTATTTTACGACGATAAAGTAGATAAAGTATTTAAAAGTCATATACTTAGAGACTCTTTGATGAGAGTTTGGAAGAAGCACCGACTCAAATGGGATTACAAAATACCGCTATGGCTGGATCTTGGTCATACTTTGTGGAATACAAATATAATGTCACTCGGGGGGTTTTTTATATAAGAGGTTCTTTTCACAGATGCGGGCAGATGGCAGCTGAAGACATTACAGACACTGTTGGATGAAGGGTTTAATTTAACTTGGTTACAATATAATCAACTACAACTGAGATGGAAAGAGGACCAAAAAACTGGTATTATGTTGCATGAGGAAGAATTGGTTAGACATATAAGAGAGAAAGGTCCAATGCATATTAAAAGGCTTTATAATGTTTTGTTAGAAAGAGATTCAGAAACGGAATTAGTTAAAGATTGTATGATTAAGTGGGCACAGAATTTTGAAGAACCAGTGATGCTGGAAACTTGGGAAAAAATTTGGGTTCAGAATGTTAAATTTACACAGTCGCAAAACCTGAGAGAAAATTTTTATAAAATGTTTTATAGATGGCATTTAGATCCTAAAAAGTTGTCATGTATGTACCCTAATGTTCAGCCAAAATGTTGGAGATGCGAATGTTTGGATGCTACGTATTATCATGTTTGGTGGACCTGTAGGAAAGTTAAGGCTTTTTGGATAAAAATTTGGTGGGTCATGCAGAATGTTTTGAGGAAAAAAATTCAATTTTCTCTTTTTTATTGTACAGCAATCTTTCTCCTCAAACCTACCACCTCTCTCTTTTCTTTCCTTCTTACTTTCTCTTCCTCCCCCTCTTCTTCTCCTCCCTACTCTCTTCCTTTCTCCTTCTCCTCCTCTCTTCCTCCCTCTCTTACCCTCCCTCCTACTCTAATTTCCCTTCCCTTCCTTCATCCCTCTCTATTGCTGTATCCTTTTATGCATATGGACTACTCAGAGGGCTGAAAAAGTTATTTCTGACTGGTCCTCGCATTTTTGACCAGTCCTCGAACTTACGACTGTCCTCACATTTTACGTTTTTGCCCTATCTTGTCACCATGGTGAAGAAAAGCAGTTGTGAAATGAGTGACATGGTTGTTAAGAATGCTACAATGGGCATAAATGATGACCAGTCATAAGTGCGAAGACCGGTCAAAAGTGTGAGAACCTGTCAGAAATCACTTTTTTCAGCCCTCTGGGTAGTCCTTTTGTGCATATGGACTACTCAGAGGGCTGAAAAAGTTAGTTTTGACTGGTCCTCGCACTTTTGACCACTCCTCGAACTTACGACTGTCCTCACATTTTACGTTTTTGCCCTATCTTGTCACCATGGTGAAGAGAAGCAGTTGTGAAATGAGTGACATGGTTGTTAAGAAAGCTGCACGGGCATAAATGTGAGGATGGTCATAAGTGTGAAGACCGGTCAAAAGTGCGAGGCCCAGTCAGAAATGACTTTTTCTCAGCCCTCTGAGTAATCCCTATGCACATAGCCACGCCCACCCGGTCACGTGACCAGCTAGCCACGCCTACAGTCACGTGACCAGCTAGCCACGCCTACACAGTCACGTGACCAGCTAGCCACGCCAACCCAGTCACATGATTGCCAAGCTACATCCCCAACTAAGCCACGCCCACAGAACCTGTTGTTAAAAAAATTGAATCCCACCACTGCCATATGTGGTGGACATGTGCAGAAGCTAAAAGATATTGGACTAAAATCCACATATGGTTGGAAAAAATGACAAAGAAACACATTGACTTTAAACCTGAGATATTTTTATTAGGGATTTTATAGAAATGTATAATAGAGAACTGAGATATCTAATTGTGAATGTTTTAACAGCAGCTAGAATTGTATTTGCTAAAAATTGAAAAAAAGAGAAAATACCTACTGAAGATGAAGTCATTAAGAAAATAACGGAATGTGCTGAAATGAGTAAATTGACGTTTGAAATTAGAGAACAGGAAGACAAACAATATTATTTGATATGGGATTTGTTTTATCAATGGCTAGATAATAAGGCATAAAATGAAGTATGAAATATGAAATTAATGTAATGATAAAATATATGAAGTGTTTTGTTTTTTTATGGGAGTCAAACCTTTGTTAAATAATTGTTAAATGAGAATAATAATATAAAGGAATATATAAAATTGTTAAATAAGAGAAATTAAATAATTTGTAAATTGTGGATATGGGATTAAGCACAAAAGAATTTTAACCGATTGACACACTTTCTGTGATTGTAATGGACGATGGTTGTTTTATGTTTTGTTATGTTAAAATAAAAAAATAAAAATAAAAAAAACAAAACAAAAAAACAAATGAAGCCATGCTTCAGAGAGAAATGAAATTAAAAAAGACCTATTAAGATGGGGATAAATTGCAGTTATCACTATTGGGCAGAATCTCTGTAATTAAGATGAATGTCTTGCCAAAGATGTCTTTGTTTCAGACGCTACCAATACTTGCCACTGATATTCCATTTAAACAATGGCAGAGGGATATCTCAAAGTTTATATGGCAAGGGGAAAAACCAAGAATTAGATACAGACTACTGTAGGATGCTAAGGAAATCTGGGTCTACCAGATTTGAAATTGTATTTTGATGCCTGCTGTTTGGTCTGGTTAAAAGAATGGGTGAACCCTCAGAATAAGAGGTTACTGGATTTAGAAAGCCATGAATTAAGATTTGGTTGGCACGGTTAATTATGGTGTAACAAAGTTAAAGTAAATGTTAACTTCAACAGTCATTTTGTCAGACATGCTATTTTGAGAGTTTGGAATAAATATAAAACATGGTTTTCCATGAAGATGCCTCTTTGGGTTTCCCCACAGGAAGCTTTTTTTTAGAAACGAAATGGTGACGAGTCCGAACTAGTGGATTTATAGTAAAATAATATCTTTTAACTTAGGGACCCTACCCTCAAATCTAAGGAGCAGCTAGAATCAGAAGTTTACATATTTACAACTGAAAGAAAGATTTAAATTAGATAAAAAGAATCACGGGTTTAACTTTGTTAAAAATGAATTGGAAACTTTACTGTTTGGTAGTGAGGAACATATTATTGCTAAAGTCTATAAAACAGGAGTGAAATGCTCCCGGTTCGGACCAGATCGCCTGATCCGGTAGCGATGGTGGTGGGTGGTTCAGAGAACCAGTAGAAGAAATCCCTGCCCCCACCCATGCCCAGCTGAGCCACGCGATCATCAGAGGCTTTTTTTTTTTACGTTTAAAAGCATTTTTTCTACAAATGCTTTTAAAAGTTAAAAAAAAGCCTCTGATGTTCGTGTGGCTCAGCTGGGATCGTCAGAGCTTTTTAAAAGCATGAAGAGGTTGTAGAAAAAATGCTTTTAAAAGTAAAAAAAAAAAAGTTGGCCATGCCCACCCAGTCACATTACCCCCCACCAAGCCACACCCACAGAACCGGTAGTAACAAATTTTACATTTCACCACTGCTATAAAGTGTTATTGAATTTAAATCTGGAAAATGAGCAAGTAAAGCATTGTATGAGTCAGTGGGCAAGGAATTTTTGATGTAATGTAATGCTTGAACAGTGGGAGAATATGTGGAATAAAGGTTTAAAGTTCACATTAAACTATAATTTAAAAGAAAATTTCTATAAGATGATGTATCATTGGTATTTAACTCCAGATGAATTGTCAAGAATGTATAAAGGTACTTCAAATGAATGTTGGAAATGTAAATGTAAAGAAGGAACTTTTTATCATTTATGGTGAACGTGTGATAAAACAAAGAAATATTGGAGTAGGATTCATATCTTAATACAGAAAATTCTTAAACTGAATATAGAAAGAAAACCAGAGACTTTTCTTTTGGGTTTAATGGAACAAGACTTGGAAAAAAAATTCGGAACTCTGATGTTATATATGTTGATGGCAGCAAGACATCAACAGTACAGAAATGGAAGGTCACCTCGATCCCCACAATGGATGAATGGCTGGAAAAACTAATGGAATTAGCAAAGATGGTTAAATTGACTATTTTGATTAAAGAAAAAAACACAAATGCCTTTATTTCTACTTGGAAACCACTTCTGGACTTTGTGCTTGAGGTAGAAAAAAATTAAACTTTAATTTTGGGTTTTACCGATTAGATAGATTTGTTGTTATAGAAATGGCTAGTTTACGTTATTATGAAAAAGTAAAAAGTTGAGGATAGAGGCCTTATTTTACTGCACCAAAGTTGGAAATCAATGCCTTTTCCCCCCTTGCTTTCCCCCACTATCCATTTCCCTTTTTCCTTCCCTAATTTCCCTAATATTTACTTTTGTATTCTCTTTGTATGTCATATTATAAATTAATAAAAACTATAGTATAAAAATTAATTAATTAATTAAAAAAAACTAATGGAGTCAATTCCAACTTGCTCAGATTTAGTGAATCTTCTCACCATCTTCCCAATAAAGTGCTTTACAAAAATGTATCTGCCAAGACGAACCATTAACATAAGAGTTTCCTAATTATTACTTCTTAGTTTTAGACCAATAGAATGGTTAATTACTGTTATTAATTAGCTAAGGATTTTACCTGCATGCTTCCCAGCCTTTTGCTTTTCAAGCTGTCGTCGAGTGATGCTATCACGTAACCGTTTTAGATTTTCCTAGAAATGCAAAATTAAATTTTTAGGAATATGAACAAATTCATAATAACATGCAAATCTGGCAAGAATTAATTGAATCAACATAAGGTAGAGATTTTCAAACTGAAAAATCCAGGACAGCCAAGTTTGGTCTAGTGGTTAGGGCACCAGGCTAGAAAGCTGGAGACAATGAGATCTATTTCCAGCTTAGCCATGAAAAGCAGCTGGGTGACTTTGGGCAACTCACTCTCTCTCAGCCCAACCCACCTCACAGATATGTTGTTGTGGGGAAAATAGGAGGAAGAAGATGTATTGGAGAAGTTTGCTGTCTTGAGTTATTTGTAACTCACATGGTCCTTGGATATCAAACCCGGGTTGCCGGGTTTCCAGCTGACAAGCCTAGCATCTTAACTGCTCAGCCACCGCACTGCCCTAATAAAAGGTATAATAAAAGTACTGAAATATCTTTGATATGCAAGTGTGGGCCACTGCCCAATACATACAATGTGGAGGGGGATATTTACTGTCTGGAAAGCTACTGAGATGAATTTTGCCAGGCTCTTTTAAGTGTCCCTCCTTTGTCACTTGACTAGCTAATATAGGAACTATCTATATTGGGTTCTTCTAAAGCCAAAGTCTCTTGTAAAAAGAATATCATGATCAGATAAAAACTTGATTAAAAAGATATTTTTTTCCTAACTGGATATTGTTATGGAGTGGGCAACTACACAAGGAGAATAAGTTTAATTCACAAAAACCTTCCTATTACCTTATTGTTCATTGATAAAGAAACTGAGGGGAAATATTCCACTAGGACAAAAAGTATTCAAGTTATCACAAGCTACTTTAAGAGATTTGTTTACATAAATCAGAAGTTCTGTCTATTCTAGAAAATATTTTCACCATTTTAGCCTATTAATATTTGAATATTTGAATTCTATTTAAAAAGTCAACTATGCTATTTACAGATAGGGAGCAGAAATTGTAGCACCTTTCCTGCAATGACAAAAACAAATTAAAAATAATATGAGATATAAGGTGAACTAGGATTAGAAATGAGATTACAAATAAAATACATACTGTACCTGTTGATAGTGAAATGATTCTGATCTCTTCTTTTGATTTAACTGCCACTCTTTGAAACACAGGACAGCTTCATCTACAGTGAGCATCCCCAACTTCACCTGCTCTTGTAGAGTAATCAGCTGCCTCTGACCTGGAGTCTTCATTCCAGCAAATGGGTCATATATACTCTGTTGAGGCTGATTTGAAACAGTATTTATTTGTTCTAAAAATTAAAAAGAAAAAAAACATAATGTTATTCTCTCACAGGGCATATTACACAGTTCAATCGTGAAGTTTAAATCAAAGCCATCTATATTCTAACTAAGGAATGTTGTTTTCCAGAACGTGAGTGAGGGGGATCAAATGGGATATTTCGGCATGACTTTCATAGGAAAGACGAAGAAGAGAACAGTGGAAGTGTGCTGTCCCGCTGACTCACGCATAGTAGTGGTTTAGTGCATTTATTAATATTCTCCAACAATTCCCTTCACCAAAAACCCAGAACTGTCCCAATTAAGTACAGCCAAAAGCAGACCAATGCTAGTCCACAGAGCAATAGCCAATGAGTCCTCAAGGCAACTTGAAAGTTTCCTAGTCAAGATAAACCCACCAGGCAAACTTAAATCCACAATATAAGAGGGTTCACAAGGCAAGAAAAATCCTGAGTTCACAAGGCACAATCAAAGTCAAGGCACCGTGTCAATCCAAAGTGAGGCAGGAATCATAATGACCAGGAAACATACAGCTAGGAAATGAATCTGTTGTTTCCACCATTGCCTCCATCTGTCTGTTGTGCTAAATAGCCAGCTTCTGGTGTAGCTCATCAAGAAGGGTGAGGCTGCCTCCTCACAAGTAATTAGGCTGACCTTCTCTGCTCCTGCCTTTTTTCTGCCCTATGTGTTCTTGGATCAGGTGCAGAAGGCAGTTCCTCTTCATTACTGACCAGTTGCAGCTGCGTGCTTTCCCCACCTGAAGCCTCAGTGCTGTCCTGCTGCAACTGCACTTCAGCCAAATCCCTGTCAGACGGCTGCTTGGAGCCATTGACCAATTCCGCTCCAGACATGCCTAGAACTGGTTCATCCTCCTCCAAGCTGACATCTGGGGAAGGTATCTGGGGAAGTATTGCCCTCTCAAGCTCTGTTTTCACTGGATTGCAGGAGGCTGTCACAGCCAGAAATGGAGCTTGGGAGCCCATTTTCACTGGCAGAGCGCTCGGGCCACCACAGGTGCCCCTGACATAAGTGACACTGAGCAGGCCACACCGCCTCTGACCACGACCACCCCACCCCCCTGAGGTCAAACACAACCCTGATGCGGCCCTCAATGAAATTGAGTTTGACACCCTTGCCATACCTCTGCCATGGTAGCCTGAGTTTCTCTCCACACACCCCAGGGATTGGGGAGCGACTGGAGTCCTGGTGATTTTGATTAGTTTTGAGAGAGTTGGCTTTCTGGCAGGGTTCCAACCAATGTCCTAATTAAATAATGAGTCTCGAGCCACGCTTCAAAAGAAATCCAGTTATTTATTAGGAGCTTCATGTTGGCACATTCCAAGTGAAGCCAACTCTGACCCCATGTAATTTACGGCCCAGGCTTGACCCTGTTTTCCCCCTCCCCCCAGTTTGCAGTTTGAGCAAAGATGATTTTCCCTTGTCTCCCTTGACCTCTAAATCTGCTAGAGACTGCTGGCTCATTCATTCCACCACTGTCTCCAGTTCATCATTTCTTCCCCAGAAGTCCTTTTGCGTTTTCTGTGCCCTTAAGGCTTTAGCCCAAACTGGCATTCCATATAGTCACACAATCTATCTCATATTACATTTATTTCTTTATTTTGTAAAATCCAATAATTGCCTTTTCCTTTTTATATTAAACAATAAGCGTGGTCTATTTGTCTAATTATTTCCAAATAGTATAGAAAGCGCTTTTGCCAAAATAAATTTAAACTGTTCAAATAGAATTAAACTTTTTGCTATTAATTTAAAATTCTTGAAATTATTTTTTCTGTCTTTAATCTATAAGGAAGGCTGATTTTTTCTTCATCCTGCTGATTTAAAGATTTCTCTCTATAAACTGATTATATCCAAATGTGGTTAAGAAAGGGAGTTCCAAACCCAGTATCCTTAAATGCCTGTGTTGCAGTCATGAGAGCGCTGGATCGACTTTGACTCCCAGCCATTCAACTCATGTTTAATTCCTGCAGTCTCCTCATAAATAGTAGCCCTTTGAAATATAGGTGGAAGATTTTTTAATCTCTCCTTATCTGAAGACGCTCTGCTGCCCAGAATTGTTGTCTGCCCACCAGTCATCACCACAGTGTTGTCTTCAGAGATTTTTTAGTCTGCCATACACTTTTTCCAGACTCCTCTATTTATTTAGTTAAATTACACTGAAGACCAAAATAACCCTTGCATGAGAAAGCAATAAAACGAATGATAAATATAAAGAAATTTGCACAGCCAAATTTATGCTAGGAGCTGCTGTGGCCTAGAGGTGGAGCTCTTGCCTCACAATCAGGAGCTTGTGAGTTCAATCCTAGGTAGAGGCCAGATGTAGGGTCTCCTACTTGGGCAGGGGGTTGGACTAGATGACCTGTAAAGTCCCTTCCAACTCTGTTACTCTGTTATGAGTGTTCTGAAGTTCCCAAAACTACTACACAAGTTAACATATGATAGTGTAGTAAATTTAGCAGTATTTCTAGAAATGTCTGGAGACCTGTCAAGTAAGATTAAGAGTTGGAGAGTGTTCTTTTCTGAGATTGTGTAAAAACAGGGAAGAGAAATATTATCACCACTGTAGATAGAAGAGGAATCACATCAATACTTTGCATGGCTACTTATGTTCCAATTCTTAGATCACATTGCCATTTCTTGTTTTAACCACAGTAACTAATATGGCTCAGTTATGCTAATCTATGATGAATATAGCATTAACCCTTAGTAAAACTTACAATAACCTGTCCGAAAACTGCAAAAATTCTGTAATCGTGACTCACCTTTGCTAATATTTTTTGCAGAAACATAAAGATTCCCAGATTTCTCTTGATCTTTTTCTGTAAATACTGAACATGTACAATTTATTTAAAACATTTAAAAAATTCATAATGTAAAGTTGTGTAGTATATATAAAAAAAGTTATAAATCATGTTATCAAACATAACATCAAAAGAAATATAAATACAAATAGGAACAAAACTTAAGTACCCAAAATTGAAACACATTTTAAAAGGAAGAGTTCTAGACTATATGAGTTTTTAAATGATATAGGTATACAAATTTAAAAGATATAGAACAGAAATTTTTATCAGCATAAGACAAACTTTTAAAGACATGATGACATAACTAACTCAGGTCCATTTTCACAATACAAACTGTGGGAGAACTATCTTTCAGAGCAAATCTTCCCTGTGAATCAAAGAGAATTTATTCTTTAAAATCATTTCAAATTGAACTGTTAGATTACGGAATAAGACAGTACTTCATTGTTGATTCAGCTTGGCCTGAATAATTACAATAAAATTATTATTGTAAACTTCAAGGGAAAGGATATAGAGCAGACGTATAGGGACTTTTTCCCCCTTTGTTAAACTGGGCATGGGTGTGGCCAGCGTGTGACACATCCGGACTGTGGGCCGTGAGTTTGACAGCCCTGATATAGAGCATTGGATTTAAAATCTCAATTCCATTATGTTAGTCATGTAAAAATATCAGGACATAAAAACATTACATTATCAAAACTTAAAAATGAGATAAGCATTTATATATATTTCAAAGCAGCTACTTATTCTAAGATCTATACCAGTGATGGCTAACCTTTTTGCCATTGCGTGCCAAAAGCAGGGGGAGCGCGGGGGAGGTTGCGCACGCATGTGCCCACACCCATAATTCAAGGCCCCCCACTGTGCCCCACCCCCCTGCGCATGCACGAAGGTTGTGGCGAAGGTTGTTGAGAGTGTGGTGGTGCGACAGCTTCCCTGGTACCTGGATGAAGCTGTCTATCTAGTCCGTACCAGTCGGGCTTCAGGCCTGGGTACAGCACAGAAACGGCATTGGTCGCATTGGTTGATGGTCTCTGGAGGGCTCAGGACAGGGGTTGTTCCTCTGTCCTGGTCTTATTAGACCTCTCAGCGGCTTTTGATACCATCGACCATGGTATCATGCTGCGCCAGTTGGAGGGGCTAGGAGTGGGGGGCACCGTGTTGCGGTGGTTCTCCTCCTTCCTTTCTAACTGTACGCAGTCTGTGTTGGCAGGGGGGCAAAGGTCAACCCCGAGGCGCCTAGTCTGTGGGGTGCCACAAGGGTCAGTCCTCTTGCCCCTCCTGTTCAACATTTATGTGAAGCCGCTGGGCGAGATCATCCGTGGCTTTGGGGTGGATTTCCATCAGTACGCTGATAATACTCAGCTGTACATTTCTATCCCGGGCCATCCCAATTATGCCCTTGATGTGATGACCTGGTGCCTGGAGGCCGTATGGATCTGGATGGGGAGAAACAAACTCAGACTCAACCCTTCCAAGACCGAGTGGCTGTGGTTTCTGGCGTCCCATCATAGTCAGCTAGTCCCATCACTGACTATTGGGGGTGAGACCTTGACCCCCTCAGAGAGGGTTCGCAACTTGGGTGTCCTCCTGGACTCGCAGCTGGCCCTAGAAGACCATTTGACGGTTGTGGCCAGGGGGGCTTTTTATCAGGTTTGCCTGATCTACCAGTTGCGTCCCTTTCTGGACCGGGACTCCTTGCGCACAGTCACTCATGCACTCGTCATCTCCCGTCTGGACTACTGTAACGCTCCCTACATGGGGCTCCCCTTGAAGAGCATCCGGAGGCTCCAGCTGGTCCAGAATGCAGCCGCGCGGGTGATTATGGGAGTGACTCGACGCTCCCATGTAACACGCTCCTGTGTGAGCTGCACTGGCTCCCGGTGGTCTTCCAGGTGCGATTCAAGGTGTTGGTTGCCATCTTTAAAGCGCTCCATGGCTTAGGACCCGGGTACTTACGAGACCGCCTTCTGCCACCGATACCCTCCCATCGACCAGTACGCTCCCACAGAGAGGGACTCTTCAGGGTGCCGTTGGTCAAACAATGTCGACTGGCGACCCCCATGGGGAGAGCCTTCTCTGTGGGGCACCTGCCCTCTGGAATAAGCTGCCCCCAGAGATTCGTAGGATCCCCGACTTTCGCACCTTTCGCCGTGCCCTCAAAACACTATTGTTTCACCAAGCAGGGCTGGCCTAAATGCTATTTTAATGGGTGGTTTCTATTTTAGCTCTTTCGGCCAAATTATTTAATATTTTTAAATTGTCTTTTAACTTTCATATAGTTGTGGGTTTTATTTTTGGCTGTACACCGCCCTGAGTCCTTCGGGAGAAGGGTGGTATAAAAAATTTAATGAACAAAATAAATAAATAAATAAATAAATAAATAAATAAATAAATAAATAAATATATTTTAACCCAAGAAACCTGACATAATCATATGATCAGATACAAGCTAGATGATAGCAGTATAAATGAATGCAACTGATTAAAAGGCAAATGCTCTTTTAGAATATGTTAACAGATACATAGAGTCCAGATGCCATGTAATAACTTCCCCCTCTGCTCTGTCTTAATCACCCCTCATGGAATTCTATGTCCAATTGTTGTGGTCACCATAATTGAAAATGTATAAACTGGAATGAGTTAAAAGAATGACAACCAAGATAGGGATGTATCTGGAAACTAAGTCATATTAGGGATAGTTAAATGAACTGGTTTAACTTTAGTTCTCAGAAAAGATAACTAAGGAGAGATAGTCAAAAATATGAGAGTATAAACATTGCTGGTTGCCTAGAGACTATTACCGCAACAAATAGGTCAAGCTGCAGGGAGATAGATTCAATTTACTTATCAGAGGTTTCTGATTATGGCAAAAGCTGTCAACCAGTAGAATAAGTTAATTTGTGTAGTGATGTTTCCCTTCCCCAGAGGTTTTCAAATAAAGGATGGATCATTTGGATAGTCATCTGCCCAAAATATTTTTGCAGCTCCTGCAGTGAGTAAGGGATTGATTAAATTACTTCTAAACTACCTTACTAAACTACCAGGCCTCAGGCAAGCCAAGAGACACGAAGACAAGCACCCCGCGGCCAGCCATCCGCTCTGACCCACTGACTCTCAGCTTTTCCATAGTGCAGCACATCCGAATTGTGTGCCAACCCCTGCGTTGTCTGCTGCTTGGACAGGTAATCAACTTGACTCTGTAGCCCCAAAGTGCACCAACCAAGGAGCCAGCAGGCTGCAGCTGCTGCTGGATGTCAGCCCCTGCGTGCTTGCCACCTTTGTGTGCGTGCCAGGGGGGTGGGGCACTCAGCCAGGCTGAAATTGTGTTTCCCCAAAATTACCCTGAAATCATGTTTCCCCAAAAATAAGCTCAAGCGCTTATTTTGAAACCCCCAAAATATAAGACCGGATCTTATTTTCAGGGAAACACAGTATAAATTAAAGATATTATTTAAGGCAAAAGCAGAAATAATGGGTGGAAATCACAAGGCAATATATTCAAGTTAGACTATAGGAGTATTTCCTGAAAGTAAAAACTTTCAATTAATGCAGTGGTCCCCAAGCTTTCCAGCTTGGTGGCCTGGCATGAGGGGGGTAGGCATGTGAATGGCAGGTGTACAGCTCCATTTATGCAAGTGGCGCATGCGCATAAATTAATATTTACTTTTTCACTTTATTATATTTGGAAAGAAGAGGCAAAAAACTCTGAAATGAAATAATTATTTGACATCTGTTAAAATGGACATTTTCCCCTTCTACTGTACCCTGTCTAGCAAAAAAGTTATCAGATTTTTGTTCACCAGTCACCTTTATAAATGTATGGTTCTTTGTCTTGTTGTATGGAGGAGGGATCAGGTCTTGGAACAGGAACAGGTGGCCTGTTGACCATTTCCTGGGGAAAACTATCTTGTTCCACAGTATGATAGACATCTTTGTCTTCACTTTGATGGTAGATACCTTCTTTAGGTTCTGGTATCTCCAAATTAACACCTAGAAAAGGAAATCATATTAAAAATATTAAAAAAACAAACAAAAATGAATAAACAACGATTTTCTTACAATTTTCATCATAAGCAAAAGTTTCAAGGCTTCAGCTCCTCTAGGGAGCTAGCTTAGGGTCATTCTGTAGTTCACTAAAGTCTTCTGCAATTTCTAGTGACCCCTATGTATATGCTAAAAATAACTGGATATTCAGTTGAGGACATGGTCATATCTTAAGCAAAGTCCGAGCTATATGTTTCTATAACTAATATGGGCTAGGCCTATTTCTCATCATGCTAACCCCACTTCTTACTTTCCTATAAATACATTTATATAAATACTGATCCATGTTTAAGGTGACCAGACGTCCCGCTTTTGGCGGGACAGTCCCGCTTTTGAGCAATTTGTCCCGCGGCGTTTTAAAAAAGTCCCGATTTTTCATTCTGCCTCCTGGTTCCCGGCTGCCTCCTGAATCCCCGCTGATGGCTAGAGGGAAAAAACCTGTTTAAACTCTTGCCGCGGGGCTTCAAAGGGCCGCCCTACATTAATTAGCTCGGCTTCCCCCTCTCAGCTGATTTGCACAGGGCTCTGCTCTTGCTAAATTGCTCAGTTTTTTTTTCCTCTTTGTGCAAACCAAGCTCAAAACGAAACTGGAAGTAAAACAGGCTGTTGGCTTTGCGGTTTGCTTGCAACGTTGGAAAATTAGGCAGCAGATTTATTTTCCTTTTCCTCACCAAAAAAGGTAAGTGCAAACAATGGAAAATTATTTAGGGCAAAAGAGGAGAGTTCAAGATTTTAAAACACAAAAGAAAAAAAAGCTCTTTTTAACTAGGGAATTGTAATAATTGAGATATTATTAATTGTATACTGTGTTGAAAGCAGAAATGGTTAAGTTGTGGTTTGGAGGAATATATGGGGGAAATTATTTGGTTTATTATTATTGGTAAGTATAATTAATTGATTTGTAAGAAATTGGATTGCATGGAAATAATTGGAATATTCATGTTCATATTGATTAATATACAAAAAAGATAGTTATATAACTAATTGATTTATATTAAAATGTTGAATTTGTATTAAACAACTGTATTACATAATTACATAATTAACCAATGTGAGGATGGATATAAAAATAGATGACAATGGGAAGGGGTATAATATAGAATAGAAGGGAAAAATTGAATTTGATTAAGATTAGAGATGAGGATGAAGGGTAATATTGGTTTTTTACAAAAATAGATGAGGAATAAATATGGCAAAAAGGAAATATAGAAATTGTAAATTTAATTGAAATGACTAAACACTGTTTAAATTTGTGAACCAGCCAAATATTCTGTTCAAAGAAAATACATTGTATGTATGTGTGTTTCTAATTATTGCTATTTATTCATATTTGTTCTCTTTTATTCTTTAAAGTTTAACAATTCATTCTTTATCTTAATATCTTTATATTTGTTTGGGGTTGGCTTTCTTCCCTTTCATCTTTTTTATTGTACAGCAATCTTTCTCCTCAAACCTACCACCTCTCTTTTCTTTCCTTCTTACTTTCTCTTCCCCCTCTCTTCTTCTCCTCCCTACTTCCTCTTCCTTTCTCCTTCTCCTCCTCTCTTCCTCCCTCTCTTAACCGTCACTCCTACTCTAATTTCCCTTCCCTTCCTTCATCCCTCTCAATTACTGTATCCTTTTACGCATATGGACTACTCAGAGGGCTGAAAAAGTTATTTCTGACTGGTCCTCGCATTTTTGACCAGTCCTCGAACTTACGACTGTCCTCACATTTTACATTTTTGCCCTATCTTGTCATCATGGTGAAGAGAAGCAGTTGTGAAATGAGTGACATGGTTGTTAAGAATGCTGCACGGGCATAAATGTGAGGATGGTCATAAGTGTGAGGACCAGTCAAAAGTGTGAGGACCTGTCAGAAATGACTTTCCAGCCCTCTGAGTAGTCCCTATACACATAGCCATGGCCACCCGGTCACATGACCAGCTAGCCACGCCCACCCAGTCACATGGCCTCCAAGCCACGCCCACACAATAAGCCACACCCACAATGGTGTCCCTCTTACCAATGTTAAAATCTGTTCACCTTACCCTATACACATAGCCATGGCCACCCGGTCACATGACCAGCTAGCCACGCCCACAAAATAAGCCACGCCCACAATGTCCCTCTTTACCAATGTTAAAATCTGGTCACCTTATCCATGTTCTATTTATGGAGATGCACTAATAAGGGAATGTGAGAATTATTGAAGAAGCAATACATAAAATTAGTAAGATACAAAAGCTGGAAAATGAAAAACAGAGAGGTATAGGATTCCATTTAGATTGGATATTCTACATTGATTAACAATATCTATCATAGTAGTAGTTTCACTATATAAATTATCATGTTGCCTTTTTCATACAGTAAAAGATTTGCTGATCAATAACTAAATAAAATTGATTGATACAATAAAACCACTTAAAAGTTAAAATATAGAGTAGAGTAGAATAGAATATGGTTAGATTAGATTAATTAGATTAGATTAGACTAATTAACCTCTTCAGCTGAAGAGGTTGTAGAAAAAATGCTTTTAAAAGGCTCTGACAATCTCAGCTGAGCCACACAATCATCAGAGGCTTTTAAAAAAAACTTTTAAAAGCATTTGTAGAAAAAATGCTTTTAAATGTAAAAAAAAAGCCTCTGATGATCGCACAGCTCAGCTGGGCATGTGGGGACAGGGATTTCTGCTACCAGTTCTCCGAACCACCCACTGCCATTGCTACCGGATCGGGCGATCCAATTCAAACTGGGAGCATTTCACCACTGCCTCAGAGTGCTGTGGGAATTAGTGTTCAACAAAGTGATGGCATGGAAGGGGAACTATCTTTGTGTCTAATTGTTTTGGAATGCAATGCTGTGTAGCGGCATCCAGAGGGGACAAGTTGAAATAGTTTATGTCCAGGTTGAGAAGGGTCTGTAGTTATTTTCTCCATCCTCTTTCTGGTTTGTGCAGTCTACAGATTCTCAATGGAAGGCAGGTTGATTGCAATTGTTTTTTCTGCAGTTCTAACTATCCATTGAAGTCTGTACCTGTCCTGTTGGTTGGTGTGCCAAACCAGACAGTTAAAGGCACAAATGACAGACTCAATAATTCCTCTGTAGAACTATATCTGTAGATCCTTGGGCAATTTGAGCTGAGTTGACACAGAAAGAACATTCTTTGTTGTGCCTTTTTAATGATGGTTCTAAAGTGTTCATTTCAAGTCCTTGGAAATAATAGAACCTAAAAACCTGAAGGTCTCTACTGTTGATACTGTGTTGCCTAATATTGTAAGAGGTGGTAGAATAGGAGAGCTTCTTCTAAAATCTACTATCACCTCTGCAGTTTCAAGAATGTTCAGCTCCAGGATGTTCTGGCTGCACCACAGGGCCAGTTGATACATCTATACGCAGACTCATTATCATCTCGAATGCATGTTGTATCATCTGCAAACTTCAGTACTTTAACAGAGGGATCCTTTGAGATGTAGTCATTGGTCCTTCCGGTGAAGACAGGGCCGGCAGCTGACATGCCCAGAGAAGCTCCTCCCTCTGGACTGTCATTTTTCCAACTCAACAACAAAAGGAGCAGGCTTCCTTTTGTCTGCTGGATTTTCCGAGGTTAAGGAAAGTCCCAGAATCATCCCTCAAGATCCTTTGATAACAGCAACAGCCTGCAAGCAGTTTTAGAAGCTGAACTTCGAAGATAACTGGTGAGCTGAAGCTGGGAGGTGAGGTCGAAAACATGTCGTTGTTGGATAAAACAGCTGTTTTGTAATTTATTTTTCAAATGGACAATAAACTGTGCCCTTCATTTCTTAAACAATTTATGAGACTATTATTTTTACAAACTACAGAAGCTCTCTTTAGTTACAGTTTATCACCCCTTTTTGAAGTTTTAAACGCTATTTTTGAGACTTCTTTACTATAAAACAACAGGGAGAAAAGATTGCTAGAGGCAGCCAAAAAAAGGAAGCATGGAATATTCTTTTGTTTGAAATATAAGTAAAAAAGCTGTGGCTTTAATTTACTACTTTTAAAATAATGAGTTGCTCTGTATTGTTTTGTTGTGGGTGGTTGAAATCTGTTTATATTCAAGTGTGCAGATTGGCTAAGAAAAGAAATAATTAAATGAAGAAATAAATAACAGTCTCTGAACACTAGGGGGAGCTATGAGGATGCCTAATTGTATGCTGGTGTCCTTTATAAAAGAAATTCTTGATCAGTCCTTGGAGAAGATTCATCATTTTGTGAATCAGCCAAAATATATTAACCCTATAGATGATATTAAAATAGAACAAGAAACACACCTAGGTGTTGTGAAGATGATCAACCTATTGTGTCAACTTTACAAATAACAGATAATGTAAACAACCTAACTGTAACCTCAGAATATAAACCTGACTTTAGCTCTTTTTATGATGATGGCGTGAGTACAACCCTCCCAGTGCAACTGAAACAAGTGTATCAAGTAAATTCACAATACTTAAGAGGTCATGTTTGGGACATTCACTTTATGGATATTAACAAGGCTGAGAATTCTTAAAGAAAAAAAGATGTGACAGCTATTCAGAGAGGGAAAACTTAATTGGGGAAGATTTGCCTCAGACCAATTTTCAACATCTAACAGACAAACTTTGGGACTTTTCTTTTATTATATAAATAAAGCTGAGAATTTCTTTAGGAAAGGAGACTTGATAGACTCTCCCGAGAAGAAAAAGACTCTATTCTATGAAGATACAGTGGGGCAAAAAAGTATTTAGTCAGCCACCAATTGTGCAAGTTCGCCCACTTAAAAAGATGAGAGAGGCCTGTAATTGACATCATAAGTAGACCTCAACTATGAGAGACAAAATGAGAAAACAAATCCAGGAAATCACATTGTCTGATTTGGAAAGAATTTATTTGCAAATTATGGTGGAAAGTAAGTATTTGGTCAATATCAAAAGTTCATGTCAATACTTTGTTGTATATCCTTTGTTGGCAATGACAGAGGTCAAACGTTTTCTGTAGGCCTTCACAAGGTTGGCACACACTGTTGCTGGTATGTTGGCCCATTCCTCCATGCAGATCTCCTCTAGAGCAGTGATGTTTTGGGGCTGTCGCTGGGCAACACGGACTTTCAACTCCCTCCAAAGGTTTTCTATGGGGTTGAGATCTGGAGACTGGCTAGGCCACTCCAGGACCTTGAAATGCTTCTTATGAAGGCACTCCTTCGTTGCCCGAGCTGTGTGTTTGGGATCATTGTCATGCTGAAAGATCCAGCCACGTTTCATCTTCAATGCCCTTGCTGATGGAAGGAGGTTTGCACTCAAAATCTCATGATACATGGCCCCATTCATTCTTTCCTGTACACGGATCAGTCATCCTGGTCCCTTTGCAGAAAAACAGCCCCAAAGCATGATGTTGCCACCCCCATGCTTCACAGTAGGTATGGTGTTCTTTGGATGCAACTCAGCATTCTCTCTCCTCCAAACATGAGTTGTGTTTCTACCAAACAGTTCTATTTTGGTTTCATCTGACCGTATGACATTCTCCCAATCCTCTTCTGGATCATCCAAATGCTCTCTAGCAAACTTCAGACGGGCCCGGACATGTACTGGCTTAAACAGGGGGACACGTCTGGCACTGCAGGATCTGAGTCTCTGGCGGTGTAGTGTGTTACTGATGGTTGCCTTTGTTACGTTGGTCCCAGCTCTCTGCAGGTCATTCACTAGGTCCCCCCGTGTGGTTCTGGGATTTTTGCTCACCGTTCTTGTGATCATTTTGACCCCACGGGGTGAGATCTTGCGTGGAGCCCCAGATCGAGGGAGATTATCAGTGGTCTTGTATGTCTTCCATTTTCTAATTATTGCTCCCACAGTTGATTTCTTCACACCAAACTGCTTGCCTATTGCAGATTCAGTCTTCCCAGCCTGGTGCAGGTCTACAATTTTGTTCCTGGTGTCCTTCGACAGCTCTTTGGTCTTCACCATAGTGGAGTTTGGAGTGTGACTGTTTTGAGATTGTGGACAGATGTCTTTTATACTCATAACAAGTTCAAACAGGTGCCATTAATACAGGTAATGAGTGGAGGACAGAGGAGCCTCTTAAAGAAGAAGTTACAGGTCTGTGAGAGCCAGAAATCTTGCTTGTTTGTAGGTGACCAAATACTTATTTTCCACCATAATTTGCAAATAAATTCTTTCCAAATCAGACAATGTGATTGTCTGGATTTGTTTTCTCATTTTGTCTCTCATAGTTGAGGTCTACCTATGATGTCAATTACAGGCCTCTCTCATCTTTTTAAGTGGGAGAACTTGCACAATTGGTGGCTGACTAAATACTTTTTTGCCCCACTATAAGCTGGAAGGAGTGACTTAAATAGGATTTAATTCATTAGGATGGATCTTTTTCTTTGAAAAAAATGGATATATGTATTGTTAGAAAGCTTTGTTAGCTTTGTATGTATAAAATTGAATATGTATGTATATGCAGGCCTGCCAGTTTTTAAGTAATGCTGAACAATATTCTAAATTTGGTAAAATATTATGGACTGGATATGAAAATATGAGAATGAATGATATATTATTCCCCACAGCAAGGGAAGCTGAGATGGTTAAAATGTTTCTTTTATAAGAAATTATATTTAATTTTGTCTCTAGTTTGAAAATGCTTCTGGATCTTGTGAGAAAGAAAAAATATATATGAAATCTTGATTGTTTTTGTAAATCAGCCAGGCTTGTTGCTATAGAAATGGTTTGCACATATTGTTGTATAAAACAAAAAGTTGTAGTTCTAATGTTGTTATCTTTGACTGTGCCAAAGAGAGTTGGAAGTTGGTGCCTTTTTCTTTTTTTCTCCCATTACACTATACCCCCTCTTTTTCCCTTCCTTCTTACTTTCCCATGTTTTCTTTTCTTTGTATCTTATACTTCGATAAACTAATAAAAAAGTTGTTAATGCTGAGATGTAGTCATTGGTATATAGAGAAAAGAGTGATGGAGAGAACACACAGCTCTGGGTGACTCCTGTATTAATTGAACAAGTATTCAATGTGATTTTACCTAGCTTCACCTGCTGCTTCCTATCTGTTAGAAAGTTTATAATCCATCTGCATATGTGGTCAGGCACAGCTAGCTGAGTCAGTCTAGAGGGAAAGATTTCTGTAATGATGGTGTTGAATGCCAAGCTGAAGTCTACAAAAAAGACCCTTGCATAGGTCTTCTGGAATTCAAGATGTTATAAGAAATAATGCAGTGCCATATTGCTAGCATCATCTGCTGATCTGTTTGCACAGTAGGCAAATTGCAAGGGGTCTAGCAGCAGATCTGTTATGGCTTTCAGGTGGGCCAGCCCTAATCTTTCGAAGGTTTTCATAACTACAGATGTCAAAGCAACCGGTCAGTAGTCATTCAGCTCCTTGATAAAGGGTTCCTTGGATACCGGGATGATAGTAGAGCATTTGAAACAAGAAGGGACATATCCAATGATTTATTAAAAATGTGGGTGAAGATAGGGGCCAGTTGATCAGCACACTTTCAAGCAGGAAGGAGTTACCCTGTCTGTGTCTGGTGTTTTTCCAGGGTTTTGTCTATAAAACAGACCTCGCACATCTTTTTCCATGATTACTGGAGGTGGGGGGCTCAGAGGGATGGAGGCAGGTGTAGGAGACTTGGCTGTTGTGGATGCACCTGACAGTGATTTCCTCTCAAACCTATAGTAAAACACATTCAGATCATCTGCCAGTTGCTGATTTCTTTCAGCAAGGGAAGGTGGTTTGCTATAGTCAGTGATATTTTTAAGGCTTTTCCACACATTTACTGATTCTTTTGTTGAAAGCTGATTTCTCAGCTTTTCAGAGTAGCTTTTCTTTGCTGCCCTGATCTCCCTTGTTAATACATTCCTGGCCTGATTGTACAGCATTCTATCTCCTTTCTTGTAAGTTTTGTCTTTGGCACTGTGTAGATGTTTGAGCTTAGCTGTGAACAGAGATTTATTATTACTGTAGATGCATATGGTATTGGTCAGCACATATAAGTTTTCATAAAAACTAACATCATAATGTCACAATGTCAGTGAGTTCATCCAAATCCTTTAAGTCAGCTTCAAAAACATTCCAATCTGTGCAATTGAGGCAAGCCTGTAGCTTTAACTTGGCCTCTTCAGTCCAGGATTTCACTTTTTAACTATTGGTTTTATGATTTTAAACATTTGTCTATAAACAGGTACAAGGTGAATCATACAGTGATCAGAGTGTCCCACAGCTGCTCTTAGTAGAAAGCGATAGGCATCTTTTATTGTTGAGTAGCAGTGGTTTAAAATATTTTTGCCTCTGGTGAGACAGTTGACATGATGAATGTATCTTGGTAAACTCTTGACTAAGATTAACTGTTAAAATCTCCTAATACAATGAGTAGGGAGTCTGGATATCTCTGTTCAGCCCATAAGATTTGGTTAGTTAAGGTTTGCAGTGTTTAAGCAGGCTTGGGGTGGTATGTACACCCAGTTAGGATGAATGAAGAGGGGGCATAATAGGGTATGCAGTTAATGAATAGTGTCTCTAAATCCACATCATAAAATTTCTTTAGTGTAGTGACATTTTTACACCATTGGTTGTTAATATAAAACAGGTACTGCCTCCCTTCTTTTTACTGGATGTTTCTGCAATTCTTATCTGTTCTCTGAATCTGAAATCCTGGAAGCCATGGTGGTGCAGTGGTTAGAGTGCAGTACTACAAGCTACTTCTGCTGACTGCCAGCTGACTGCAATTTGGCAGTTCAAATCTCACCAGGCTCAAAATTATCTCAGCATTCCATCCTTCCGAGATCGTGAAAGGAGGACCTAAACTGTTGGGGGCAATGTGCTGACTTTGTAAACTGCTTAGAGATGGCTGTAAAGCACTATAAAGTGGTATATAAGTCTAAGTGCTATTGCTATTGCTATTTGCAAGCAGCTAGCATTAATCAAATCGTTCCGCCATGTTTCAATGAAGCAGACAGCTGCCAAGTTAAAAAAGTCTAAGTTGTTCCTCTTTAAAAGTAGCAGTTCATCTATCTTATTTACGAGTGAGTGAAGATTAGTTAAATGCAGAGAGGGGAAGGAGAGATTTCCTTACCCCATGCTTCCTGAGTCTTTGTAATAGGCTCCTCTCTTGCCCCTCCTTCTCCTTTTGCTTCTCTTCTTTGTTTTTGCTGGGCCGAAAGAAATAACTGCTGTTCCCTTAGTCAGAATTTCCTCCGCATTTGAAAAGAAGGGAGGACTAGTCTCAGAAAGCAGTTTGTTATTTAAAGTTCACTGTCTGATATTCAAAATTTCATTTTTTGAGTATGAAATTTTCAGTCACAGAAAATAATAGAAAACATCAAAATTACAAGAGAACATTTCAGTGAGACTGCCATTGGCATCGGCATCTTGAGATTGCAATGTAACAAGATAATACCGCAATCGTACTTAGATTGTGAGGGTGCTGATAGATACTTACCAAAGAATAACATGCAAACCAATAGTTTCTAATTGTAATCTTGCGTTTTGATTAAAGTTGCTCACCTTCTAAGAATCTGCGCATCATATAGTCCTTGGTTGTCCGTGAAAGAGGATTATTAGCATCTGACTGAAGCATTTCTACATCTGGAAAAAATGACCACACATGTACTTAGTTGACTTTGCGAACATACATATTAAATATATGTGTAGCTTCCTATATTTTTATTTTCTTAGATGGGGAAGGATTATTTTTAAAAAGGTGTATTGAAAACAGAAAGAACACCTTTGAAACTTTAGTACTATTCTGAAAATCAATTCATGTCCAGGTATTAACCATACATTTCATATTGTTGGATTAACAATATTTGTTCCTTGGGCTTCCATAAAAGCTTGGCCATCAAAATATCACACAAAGGTTATATGTTTACAGGGGGTCCTCAATTTATGAGGACAATTGGGACAGGAATTTCCATTGCTAAGGGAAGTTGTAAATTGTAAAGCACCACCACTTTGCTTAGCAATGAGAATCTCTGCAGTCCCAGTTGTCGTTGATAGAATTCCACACTTGTTAGGCAACTTCCTCTTGCTTCCCACAAGCAAAGTCAGTGGGAAAGACAGAGGATGTGTCAGGCTGGCAGGTAAGTGATTGCTGCAGGGTGAGGAAGAGAGGAGTGCACAGAGGGGGAGGATTGGGGATGATGACTGAGGGTGCAAGGGGATGTGGAAGAAATGCTAGGCAGGTTGAGAAGGTGCACTAAAATGCAGTGGTTGGGAAGAGTGTGTGAAGGTGTAGAGCGGATGTGAGAAAGTACGTAAGGGTGTGCATGAGCCGTGGGAGGGCCAGATATATGAGTAGCACCACAGGGGTCAGGGAGGGATGCACAAGAAGTTCCATGTAGGTTGGGAAGGGTGCCCATGAGTGTACATGGGTGGACAGTATGACACTATGCAGAAGAGCTAGGAAGAATGTATGGGTGGGGGAGACATGCCCCTGTGACTTGTGATCTTCCCTGCCAGCTTCTCCATTGACTTCCTGGGAATACTGACAGAGAAATTTGTGACTGGTGATCCTGTGATTGAGGGTGCTTGGGAACTGGTCCTATGAATAAATTGCAAAGTGCCCAGATTGTGAACACATGACTGCAGGGATGCTGTAATGGCTGTAACTTCAGTGACCGGTCATAATTCCCTTCTTTCACTACCATCACAGCCTTGAACTGTTGCTAAACAAATGGTCCTAAGTCAAGCACTACCTCTATTTTGAATATAAATATAAATAATAATAATAATAATAATAATAATAATAATAATAATAATAATAATTTTTTTTTAATATATATATACTGCCTATTCTCCCGAAGGACTCAGGGCAGTGTACAGCCAAAATTAAAATACAAATATACAAATATACAATATCTAGTTAAAATTAATTAAAATCATTAAATAGTTTTGGCCGAATTTTAAAACCCAAAATTAAAACCCAATTTAAAATCAATCAATTTGATAGCCCTGCCTGTCGGTACAGTAGGGTCTTGAGGGCACAGCGAAAAACCCGGAGGTCAGAAATGTTACTAATATCCGGGGGCAATTCATTCCAGAGGGCAGGAGCTCCCACAGAGAAGGCTCTCCTCCTGGGTGTCGCCAGCCGACATAACTTGGCAGACGGCACCCTGAGGAGTCCCTCTCTGTGGGAGCGAACTGGTCGGTGGGAGGCTGTTTGTGGCAGAAGGCGGTCCTGTAGATATCCTGGTCCTATGCCATGGAGCGCTTTAAAGATGGTAACCAACACCTTGAATTGCACTCGGAAGACCACTGGGAGCCAGTGCAGCTCGCGCAGGAGAGGTGTTACATGGGCATAACAAGGTGCGCCTATAACCACCCGCACAGCCGCATTCTGGACCAGTTGGAGCCTCCGAGTGCTCTTCAAGGGGAGCCCCATGTAGAGAGCATTACAATAGTCCAGACGGGAGGTGACGAGGGCGTGAGTGACCGTGCGCAAGGCGTCCCGGTCCAGAAAGGGATGCAACTGGTGGATCAGGCGAACCTGATAAAAAGCCCCCCTGGCTACGGCCGTCATATGCTCTTCTAAAGACAGCCGTGAGTCCAGGAGGACACCCAGATTGCGAGCCCTCTCTGTGGGGGGCAGAGATTCACCCTCAATAGTCAGCGATGGCACCAGCTGACTATACCGGGACGCCAGGAGCCATAGCCACTCAGTCTTGGAAGGGTTGAGCTTGAGCCTATCCAGACCCGCACGGCCTCCAGGCAGCAGGACATCACATCAAGGACATCATTGGGGTGGTTTGGGGTGGAGATGTACAGCTGAGTGTCATCAGCGTACTGGTGGACTCTCACCCCAAAACCACGGATGATCTCACCCAGCGGTTTCACATAAATGTTGAACAGAAGGGGCGAGAGGACCGACCCCTGCGGCACTCCCCAAGCGAGGTGCCTCGAGGTCGACCTCTCCCCCCCTGCCAACACAAACTGCGAGTGGTCAGAGAGGTAGGAGGAGAACCACCGTAACACGGTGCCTCCAATTCCTAACCCCCTCAACCGCTGCAGCAGGATACCATGGTCAATGGTATCAAAAGCCGCTGAGAGATCTAATAGGACCAGGACAGAGGAGCAACCCCTGTCCCGAGCCCTCCAGAGATCATCCACCAACGCGACCAATGCCGATTCTGTGCTGTACCCCCGCCTGAAGCCTGACTGGTACGGGTCCAGATAGACCGCTTCCTCCAGGTACTGGGGTAGCTGTCGTGCCACCACACTCTCAACAACTTTCACCACAAAACGAAGGTTGGAGACCGGACGGTAATTTGCTAATAAAGCCGGGTCCAGGGATGGCTTCTTGAGGAGGGGCCTCACCACTGCCTCTTTCAAGACAGCGGGAAAGGCACCCTCACTCAAAGAAGCATTTATAATCCCAGAATTGCCCAGAAACATGCAAGTTCTTTGAAGATACAGATGAGATGCCTATCCTCCATATAGTAAAAGCTCCTGTAGCATAAAGACACTGTGACACTAAATGTTCCAATAATTAATGAGCAATATTGATCTCCTTATTAAGACTGCAGAACAAATTTTGGTAAGAGAATATCAAGAAACTATAAGAACCTAGATAGGAAATAAAAAGATTTGGAGCATCATTCCAATGGATGATGATGTGCCAAGGAAGGAACAAAAGATTCTGGAGGTGAATTGTTGGCTCAGGAAATGGTGTCAATAACTCAGAACGGCTTACAGAATTAAAACACACTGGTACTCAAGGTTAAACAATGGCCCAACACACAGCTCATCTACTCACCATTAAGAAAAAAAAAAGGATTCCTGCACCATGGTCATCTCTACCTATAAGAAGGGCTTCTGGCAAGAGATAAACTTCTATTTCACGAAGACAGGGAAGAATATCTTTCGAAAACATTTGTAAAAGTCATCTAGAGAGCTTTAAACTAACTGGAAGGGGAAGGAAACCTTAACTTGAGCCATACTTACAACATAAATCTGAAAAGAGTAAACCTTAGGACAAGGAAGGAAGTGCTAAAGGGCTCAGATGCCTGTACCCAGTGTGCTGTGTATGAGCAATAAATGGGCAAAACTTGGTCCTAGTAGAGAAATAAATATGATATTTTAGATATGATTTAGGTAGGATGAATCTCATAATTAGTATTCAGTATTAGAAGAAAATTATTTGTTCAAAAGAAATAAACTCAACAAAAGTCATATCTAGAATATATTTATTTCTCTATACTAGGACCATGTTTTGCTTATTTATTGCTCACATTGCATTATATGTAAAGAATGATTACTCTTGTACGAAAATGTATCACCCTGAAGGACGAAAACCCTACCAAGAGTGTCTGGCTAAATAGTCTGGCTGCTAAGGAATAAAACTCAACAGACAGTTGAATAAAACTCAACTCACAGTTGAATAATTCAGCTGTGAATTATTCTGTGATCAAGCTTGTGGAAAAATTGTCACTGCATCTCTTAGAAGCAGCCAAATGCTATATCTTCTGTTGCCAAACCCTTCAGTCTTATACTCCAGAGATATTTTCCATTCTAGACTTCAGTCCAGACTTTATGGATAAATATACCTACCCCACTTCTTTTCTGTTTCCCACTTGTCTACCACACTCTTCCTTAGGAAAAACAGTTATCAATATCTGTCTAACTTAGTTCCAACCATAACATCCATTAAGATGCAAAAAGGCTAAAACTAATACTATGGTAGCAATGTACAGGTAGTCCTTGACTTACAACCATTTGTTTAGTGACTGTTTGAAGTTACAACGGCACTAAAAAGTGCCAATTTACAAAAAAGTGCTTTATGGCCATTTTTCATACTTATGACTGTTGCAGCATCCCCATGGTCATATGAACAAACTTCAGACTGTTGGAATACAGTATTAATGCATTTTGTACAACTACACAGCAGTATTCAGTAAAGATATATATTCTTCAATGAGTAGATGGCACTGTCGCAGTTAAACAGAAAAGCACATGTGGACTGTGCATTGTTTGTTCTGCAGGGCTATATACTGTACAGATTTCTAACAGTTTCTGGGCCAAATCATAGCTGATTACAGCAAATAAGCGCAAGATGACTGCAACAGAATAAAAGAAAATGGCCAGTAACACAGCTGCCACAAAGCTTTCATTTACAAATCTGACAAACCAGAAGTACCAGTCTTGGAAATTCAAGATGAAGATGCTGCTAATAAGAGTGTCTATGGAAATTCTCAGTCATCCAGGTCATGGTTGTCCCAAAAATGCTTTTTAAAGAGACAACTGGACCTTCTGCTTTTTCTTTGAAGACATCTTCAAAGAAAAGTCTTAAAAGAAAAACCAGGAAGTCCAGTTGCCTCTTGAGAGAGCACCTTTGGGATGCTAATAAGAGTATGATCGTGGTGAGACAGTCGGGGAAATAGCGGGCTCTGATGAGCCCCACAAAAACCCCAGCTGCCGAACTGCCGCCAATGGGTCTTCGGCCCGGAACCGTCCTGCAGGGATGGGGATGGAAGAGAGGTGCCTCAGACAACCAGAGGAATGGGCAAGTTCCTCGGAGGTCAGAGGGAGCTCTCTGTGAGTCAGCGGTGGGGGGCGGCAGCCATGGCAGCTGCCACGAAGCTGGGACAAAC